CCTTTTCTTCTCCTCGCAATGGACAAGAAGCTTCCCTGCCACAGAAATAGTTTCAGGACTAAGATATCTGTTCCCACAGCTGCACCAGTGCTATTCTGGCTTAGCTAAAATTAAAGAGCTGAAGTTGTATGTGGGCCTTCATGAAAACTGTCACGGGGACCACAAGATTAGAGGACCAGATGGTGACCTGGAAGACTGAGGTCTACTCTCAGCTGTGCCAAGGGATTCTTATATGTGTCAGAGCATGTTTGTCCACCCCTGTTTAACAGAATCCTAAAATGGTTTTTGTTGGAAGGGACCAAAGATTATCTGGTTCCAAGCCCCTGCCGTGGACAGGGACACCTTCCACTATCCCAGGTTGCTCCAAGAGCCATCCAACCTGGCCTTGGACACTTCCAGGGATCCAGGGGCAGCCACAGCTTCTCCATGTCAGTGCCTCACCATCCTTATCATAAAGATTTTCTTCATCCTATCTAGTTTGCATCTCCCTGCTTTTAATTTAAAACTGTCACCCCTTGTCCTCTCACTACAGACACCACTAAAAAAGTCTGCCTCTATCTTTCTCCTAAGTTTCCTTTAAACATCGAAAGACCAACAAGTCCTGCCCTATCACCTCCAGTGCCCATCCAAACGCCAGCCTAGAGATCCAACAGCACTTGAAAAAAACCCAGGAAAGCGCAGGATAACCCCAGCATCCCTGCCACCATCCCCTCTCCCACCACGAGCAGGTCCTCTGCCAACAACTGTGCCAGCCATTGTTGGGCACATAAAGCCTGGTCCACGGGGCCTGCTGTCAGCATGCAGCTCATTACTCTGCAAAGGGCTTTGAAATGCTTGGAATATGAAAGGTGCTCCATCAGACCAAATTCAGCTCCGTTTGCTATTACAATACAGCGCATTCCTTTTGTCTGTGCCTTTTGATGATGTGCAATTGTTCCCCTCAGTCAGTATTTCGGAGTCATTAGCCGGAATTAGTAAAGTTCCCGCTGCCGGACTTTTCCGAGGCTCTGTTCTTGGGCTACAAAGAGTCAGCGAGGAGTTGTCCTGCTTTCACCGAGCTGGAGGCACAGCGGGGAGCTGTGCTGGGGGGAGCAGGCAGTCTGCTCAACTCCACTTTCCCCCTGCAGGCACCGGGAAACGCGCGTGCCAACAAGATGCTGTGGGTGGTCGCAGGGGGGCCGGTGCCTCCTGGCCAGTAGGGAACCTCAGACCCTTCCATTTGGTACCTCTGGAGGGACCAGGAGGACCTGGAGGGACCAGGAGCAAGGCTCCACCTCGCTGTGTCCACATTTAGGCAGCACATGCCACAAAGTTCGGGTTTCTCTCCCAGGAATCCCCCACTCCCCATTTAAAGGCACCAGCACTGAAGAAGTCACCTTCCTGTGGGTGACAGAGATCTTGGCATCTTCCATGGTGAAAACACCTGGTTGTGCCTGACCTTGTCCTCTAATCTTCTGCTCATGTTATGCCTTTCCAGCTACATCAAAAGGCCTCTTACTACGCAGACACTTTTTCCTAAAGGTATTTACACATGGAACATACACCTCTCTGATCGACCTGTGCCAGTGTCTCATCACTAACAATTTGTTAGGTCTATCTTGTCTGAATCTCCCCTCTTGGTGTAAAACCATTTCCTCGTGTTCTATCGCTCCAAAGTCCCTCTCCAGCTCTCTTGGAGGTCCTTTAAGCACCAGAAGGGGTTCTATAGTCTCCTCAGAGCCTTCTCTCCTCCAGGCTGAACAGCCCCAGCTCTCCCAGCCTGTCCACCGAGCATTTTTGTGTTTGCCTCTGATAGAGGATTCATTCCTGTTCACCAATAAGCAGTTCCAGCAGACAAATGAAGTGAGGAAGCTCCATGGGCTCTGCCCATCTGGTGTTGCTGTCTGGCCCCAAGGACCCAGCTCAGGTCTGGGGACCACAGCAGCCCCAACTCACACCTGTGACCAAGGCGCAGACCCTTCCTCATCCAGCCATCCCACTGCCTTCCTCTGGATGCACCGTGGAAGGGTATCTGGCCACTAGAACCCTGAAACAAAACCAGGAGCAAATCAACCTCATGGGACATCCTTTGGGAGAAGAGCTCAGCACCAAAGTCAGCTCCTTTAGCAGCTGGTCGTATTTCCCAAGGGATTGTACTTCCATCCCCTAAGGATTCCCCTGAAAATCATCTCGTAGATCATCCCACTTAACAGTCACAACCATTGTGACACAACCCAATGCAGACAATTCACACCTCTCACCTTGCGTTTTTTTAAAGTAACACGGTACAATAAAGCAGCCTGCCCGGATTCCAGCCTAATCTAAAAACAACTTTATGGCTTCTAATTTTAGCACTAATCTTCCTTTGCTATGGTTGTGTGATTTCTAATTATTTTATCCCCAAGCCTTGCTTTGATGGATAGTTGTACCTTTTCCAATGCCAAGTGACTTGTAAAGTGCCTTTAAAAAATACGCTGATCATTTCAGGTTCATTTCCAGTTCCTACACAAATAACATTCTCATATATGGCTTCACTGCGGAAATATTATTATTATTAAAATAATATTAATAATAATAATAAAAAAGCAATGCAATTCAAAAAGGAGAGCTCCATTTCTTAGGACTACCCCAATCTGCCCCTGCAAACATCCATATTTTCTCTTAGAAGTTGTTATAGAGCATAAATCCGCTATCGAGATACGGATCTCTCAATAATTCAGTGGCTTTGGCTTGGCAGAGCTCCCAGAACACTTTGCCTTTATCTACCCCTATCTTCAGGTTACAACACGTCCAAGAGCATTTGGACACACCAAGACCTCGGGGCAGGGGGGGACTGTGAGAGGGACAAGGCGAAGAAGCGGTGGCAGAGACACATTTGCTTTGATGTTCCTCGGGGAGAGCCACCTGCCCAAATCCCCTGAGCCTGCAAATATCAGCTGAAGATGCGTTGCAGGGGTTCAGGATGAGCTCCAAGACCAAGGTCCTCAACAGGCAGGCGCTTTCTCTCCTACCACACTCGCCTGAAGCAACCTCTTGATCCTTCTAATCGCTGACCTAGATCAAACCTGTATCTGATGCCGTTAAATTTGCACAAAAATATATATATATATATATACTGGGGAGGGGAATGCTGCCTGAGGAATGTTTCAGGATGCTGAGCCTGCCTGTCTCTGCCACGGGATTGCGCGTCCTTGTAGGACCTGCCACCAGCAGCCAACACTGGAACAGGGGATGCAGGCACAGGACTGGTGGATGTTTGTTGGGTTATTTCCTTCCCCAGGATTTATACTGCGCTCCGGTCAATTGGAAAACATCCACTTGACCTGCGACCTTTTTGTTTTAGTTACTCTCCAAGCTTTGACAGCAGCAGTTTAAACACAAAGCATATGAGTTTCAGCACCGAGGAAGCACCCCCGTGCCTGCAAATTCTGAGTGGATGGGGAGGAATATCACACTGCAACCCTGAAGGAGAATATATTTCTTGTTTCTCATTCTTCATTTTCCTCTCCTTCGCTTTCTGAGCCTGTCTCACTCATCCATGTCTTCTACCTCCCCACTGGAAACCTGAGCTTAGCTCCCCACCACAATATTTAAGAGAAGGATACGGGTCGTGGTTTGTTTTAATTCCCTGCACAATGCTGTGTTATGGAGTATTTGAAACAGAGATTGTCAAAACAGGAAACAACCCAGTCAAAGTCCTCAGGCCTGGATCCTGAAATGTCACCACACAGAGCTGCAAGGGATGGAGAAAAGCCCTCTGTTCCCACACGGAGAGAGGATGCTCTGGGAGAACAGCCAGCGACACGCCATCTGCCCTCATGCCATCCTGATCTTGGGAGCTGGGCTTTAACCTCTGCTGAAATCAGTGCAAAGCTGCTTTTTATTAACTGGGGAGGGGAGGGGGGGGGAAACTAAGCAGATGGGGTTAAAAATTATAACCCTCTGTTGACTGATACTTTTATTGGCATAGGGAATTTCGTATGGAGTATCAATGCGCTCAGGAAGCCAACCCTACAGGAAATCTTTCATCCTTAGGGCTGCAGAGCAACCTCCACAGCATCCTGCTGGCTTCCTCCTTACTCCTCCTAAAACTCACCCCTGAGATCCTCGCCTCTCGAGCTCATGCTCTGAGTCTGAGTGGGTCTTGCTGGGATAGGACTGGGTCAAATCCTCAGGGAAAGCACTGGGCTGACATTGCACCTCCATGGGGATGCAGAGCAGGACAGAGTTTGGTCCTAGGCTCTTTGATTTCCATCTATCCTTGGAGCAAAGACTAAAAGTTTCTCAGAGGCACAACAGTGATGCCTGCTTTGGAGGAGAGAATGCAGCTACCGTAAACCAAGGTAAGTAAGATTTTCACAACTTATTTTTTCTGCAGAAAATAGATGCTGGATTTATTTTAAAAGGCAGGCTCCTGAACCTGTAGGTTTTGAGCACTTCTTAGGAGTCTGACCTGAACAAGCATCCAATATTCATTGAATATTGTTGTTGCAAGCCTTTGGTTGCTTCTGATGGGAGTGAAAACTTTCTGTTGTACTTGTTTCTTTGCTTTTACAGCTTTCTGCAAGTCAACTTCAGGAGAACTTCCCAAGCAGAAGAGCTGGGGACCATTACCAGAATGGTGATCCAGCAGTTCTGGTTTCCCAGAGACATGGTGGATGCCCCATCCCTGGAAACATTCAAGTCAGGTTGAATGGAGCTTGGAGCAAACTGGTCTAGTGGAAGGTGTCCCTCTGCCCATGGCAGGGGTGTTGGAACGAGATGGTCTTTAAATTCCCTTCCAACCCAAAAGATTCTGACTCCTCCTCTGGAAGCAAAGCAGATGTACTCCTTTATTTCTGAGGGATCAGTGGTACTATTTCAGTGTCAAGACACTAATCTAGAGTGACAACCTTTAGTAGGAAAAAAAAAAAATCCACACATTCATGGGATGAACAACAAGAAGTGTCATTTCAGATGGTCTGCATAACCCAGAACATCAAATTTCACCCATCATCCAGGTAGAGAACTAGAATAATTACCTAGGGCCTGGTCCTGAAAGGTGCTGAGTGCAGTCAAGTGGTGTCCGCTCATAGAGTTCAGTATCTCAGGGGTTCTCAGCAGGGTCAGCCTTGGAGCCTGGGCAAAACAAGACAGGTTGGACTTAGTCCAGTATTTATCAAAAAAAAACCCCAAAAACATTCCAGCTCAGCTCCATGTGCTGCCCCATTGTCCTGTACGGGGAACTAACTCAAGGGTCACGCAGACCACGGCTGAGGAGATGCTCTCCAACCCACAGGCATTCTCTGCAGATCCAGGACAGGTGCCTTCAGCACACAGGAGGAAAACCACACCGGGATGGATGTGCCCATGGAGCTTCAATCCACAACCAGGAACACCCTCAGTGCCATTCCTCGGGAGCGCCAAGTTACCCGAGACACCGCACCCGGACACGGATTACGCCGCCAACACCACCCCGGAGCTCACACGCCTTCCTGGCACAAGACAAACCCCGGGGTTGCCCTGCCAAGTCTACGGGAAGTGATAAACCTGGAGATAAGAGGAGTTATCCGTGTTTCCAGGGAGGAGGGCGAGGAACACCCCTCGGAGCTCCCTGCCGGCTGGCAGTGACGCGCACGGCACGACAGCCCCGGGCGGGTGCGGCCGTGCCAAGTGCAGGGTGAAGGCAGGGAAGAGGATGACGGGGACAGGATGACTCCTGCACACAGCCCTTTGTTTTGGGAGGTCCCCTGAGATGCCTGGCTCACAGTGGCCAAGTCCTCCTTCTTTCCCTAAAAGGGGAACGGATGAGGGGAGGAAAACAATGCGCTCTCTCCTCGGTTGCCTAATGGAAGAACAAAAGCACAGAGATCCCTTCCAAAATTGTCTTTTGAGGAACAGACCATTGAGCCTGAAGGGCCAGTATTTCTGGTTTATTTATTTCTGGATGAACTCCAACCTGCCGGAGTCTTTCTGTCCTTCCTCTGGGCTCTTGCAAAACCCGCCCGAAGCCACAGGGATCACGCAGGGCTTGCACAGACCCCAAATCCCATAGAGGATTTAACACCCAGCACCTTTCAGAGATGATGAAGCCAAAGGTGAGGTTCCTGCACCCAGACTCCACCACAAGAATGCCTCAGCCATGGGGTGGACAGGGTTTGGAGCAACCTGGTCTAGTGGAAGGTGTCCCTGTCAATGGCAGGGGTGGAACTGGATCATCTTTAGAGTCCCTCCCAACCCAACCCATTCTATTGACAGCCCTGGCCCAGCAGGATGCATTTGGCAGAGAGGGTCTGCTCCTGCCTGATCCCACTGAAAACTGCAACCAAAACCCACTAAAGCCAAAATCAGCTCAAAACCAGAATCAGACCTTTCCTTGCTCAGCAGCAGTGTCTGCTAGGGAGCAGAAGGGGATTTCTGCTGTGCTGACTGCTCATGGAAAGTCCCTGACTGGCCCACAACCGTGGAAAAAACAGAAAATAGAACTTTAATACCAAGTTGGTGGCAGGCTGTCTATTTTTCTCTCCTGTGACTGGTTACCATGGATAAATTTCTGAGGTCGACCACGCAATTGTTCGCTGCACTGCTCCTATTAAGCAGAGGATGATCAAATCATCCCATTTGTACCGTACTTTAATTTCCAGAAATTCTTTGTTCGTTTGTTTGCTTAAATTATTTCTCTCATTTGAAGAAACAATGCAGCCTTACAAAGCGAGGGCCCAAATCTCTCGAGCCACCCTGCTGTGGTTCATTACTTCTACACTAGTTAACAAGGCCAGTAATTTCCCTAAGGTTTAATAGAAAATCCTCTTTCCAGAATGCAGAGAGACAGGACATTTTAACAAACTCGCTGCTGTATCCCAGAGATGTCGTAGGTGAGGGATATCCTAGGCAAGGCACAGGTTTTCCTTAGGGTTAGTATACAGAAGCAGGTAACCTAAATGATTTTTTTTTTCACCAGAGGCTACTCCCTCAGCTGGGGAAGGTCACATCTCAGAGCATCAGCAAGCTCCACTTGGAAACAGGTTCCCAAAGCATTCCAGTCCTCTTCCCAAAATACAGAGTGGTTTATTGCATCATGCTGGGATCAGGTAGATGATACTGGAGGAGCAGATCCAAGATGTACCTGGGGTGTATTTGGTGGAAGAGGCACACGGCCCTTTTCATCAATGATATGGATAGCAAAGTACACAGAATACCTGCCCATTACCTGACCATAAACTGCCCTTCTCACCAGTTTTGCCAACCTCTTTCTATGCCCAAATCAGAAGAAAATATAAAGACAGAGAAGAGCTTGTGGAAATCAGGCAAATACACATAACATATATACATATATATTGGAACCATAGAATCAGAATCATTTGGGTTTGAAGGGGCCTTTAAACTAAGAACCCAAACTTAAAAAAAAACCAAACAAAACAACTGGAGGACCAAACTAGGTTAGTGATCTAGTCCAAACCCCTTACAATCAGCCAGGACATCTTAAATATAAATCTTCAAATCTTCAACATACATATATGTTTTATATACTAAAAACCAGCCCAGTAAATCTCTGTTGAGATGCACATGCAGGTGAAAAGCTGGGTGAGAAGTTGGCAGTGCTGCCTTGAGTCACAAGGCTATTTACCCTACAGGAGCCTCTGCAGCTCCCTAATATTATTTATACAACAGGATTTGTCAGGCAACAACTACAGATGTTCTCAGGGAGCCTCCTTACTTATCCACTGATAATACCATGTGCCTGGGACAGCTGAACAAATCCTACCACGTAAATAATAAACACACGGGCTCGGTTAATCAGAAGGAGGAGGGCGAGGAATCTGGAGATTCCCACAGACTCCCTGCCTCGGGGAAGGAAACAAGAAAATGCCCTGACCTAAGCAGGGGTGAGTCCCACATACCCACAGATCACAGGGAGATCACAGGAGCTGTTTGCAGATCACTTACCAAACATGAATAATTCAGGCAGAAGCGGCTGGGAGTATGAGAACAGATAGACTGGGAGCTCGCTGCTGCTGCTGCTGATGCTGCTGCTGCTTTGGCAGGTTTTGTTTTATTGAGCGAGGCCAAGAAAACACGAGCCCCAGCAAAAAAATCCTTAGTTCAGTGTTGCCAGTGTCGTGACTTCACTGACAATCCCGTGATATATGGTCTTTCACCAGACCCCCAGCTGATTATGAATGCCATTTCCCTTTCTCCCCGAGGCATTTCTGTGATTATTTGGCTGGGCAGGTGGGGCAAAACAATGTGCTTTTTTTGAAAGGCCTTCAGTACCCACCTACAGTCCAGTGCATAATTACACAAATCACAGAACTGCTGGGGTTGGAAGGGACCTCAAAGACCATTCAGTTCCAACCCCTGGGCAGGGACATTTTCCACTAGAACAGGTTTCTCCAAGCCCCATCCAACCTGGCCTTGGACACTTCCAGGGATGGGGCAGCCACAGCTTCTCTGGGCAACCTGTGCCAGGGCCTCACCACCCTCACAGACAGCAATTCCTTCCCACTACCCCATCTAACCCTGCCCTCTGGCAGTGGGAAGCCATTCTTTCTCATCCTGTCCCTCCATCCCTTGTCCCCAGTCCCTCTCCAGCTCTCCTGGAGCCCCTTTAGGCCCTGCAAGGGGCTCTCAGGTCTCCCTGGAGCCTTCTCTTTTCCAGGTGAACCCCCCCAGCTCTCCCAGCCTGGCTCCAGAGCAGAGGGGCTCCAGCCCTGGCAGCATCTCCATGGCCTCCTCAGGATTTGCCACAACAGTCCCATGTCTTTCCCACGCTGAGGACCCCAGGTCTGCATGCAGACCACAAACCATCCACCAATAGAGGAAATAAATTTAAAAAAAAAGTGTTTCCTTTTTATTGTTCACACCATCTATCACTTCCAGACCTCCTCCCACCCCCACCCAGCATCTTCTCTGGGAAAACACACAGCACCCAGAGACCGGTTTACAGCCTTCAGGCTCCTCTGCCCCTGCAAAAACTCATGAATCGAGAATTCAACCCTGTAGGAGAACAGGCTGCGGGAAAAAAGGTCACAAGGAGGAGGATGGAAAAGAGAAGAAAGAAAAGAAGGGATGTTCTCTAATCCTTGTCCCAAAAGAAAAACACAAGTAGGGTTGCTTCTGTGGGGATAAATTAATAGCCCATGAGCACATTATTATCAGGAGGACTTGAAGCCAGGAAGCAAAGAAAAAAAAACCACCAAAACCCTAACAAACCAAAAAAAAAAACCCAAAGAAAAAAGAAAAGCCCAACCAACAAACCCCTCAAAAAATAATAACAACCAACAACCAAAAAAACCACCCCACAACAACAACAACAAACCAGCAATAACAAGAAAAAAAAAAAAGGAAAGAAAAAGAAAAAAAACACAACCAAAAAAACAAAACCCCACGTAAGACACATAAGAAAAGACAGAGATGGTAAAGCCAGGTGGTGGAAGTCAAACATGGCTTTGGTGCAACCTGCAGAAACCTAAAATTCACTCCCCTGAAAGGACATTGAATTGTGTTCGCTGCCAAAGGGAAAAGAACCTTGTACTTCAGGATGGACACCACACAGGGTCAAGAACAGGGAATTGAGACTCAGGAGCAGCTGGTGAACCTGGGGACACCTCAGCCCCTGGGAACCAGAGGTGTCAAGCAGGGATCTGACACAGAGGACCCCACCTAAGTAGGGTTTTCCAGGGTTTCTCCCCAATGGAGAGACATGCTCCAATGCTAGTGACACACTCTGGGACTGGGGAACCCTCTGGGAATTCCTGTCCTGCATTTACCTGTTCACCCCTCTGCACTGCACCACTGCCAGCACTGGGTTTGGCCCCAAAACAGCACACCCTGCTCTTCTCCAGCCCAGCTGGAAGGAAACTGCTGTGCATGTACACCAGGTTACAGCCCCTTTACACAACACCTCTTTCTTGATATTGCAGAGATATATCTGATTCAAGACTCAAAGTGACAGCAGAAGTCCCAATAAATCAGGTTCTCAGTGTAAACCAGATGAGAAGCATCCAGGCTGAGGTAGGTGGGACCTCTGATGCCACCGGCAAACAGATCTACACTTCCAGTTTTCCTTCAAAATTAAAATATTGACTCTATCCACACTTTCTCCCACTTTTAAGCTACTTAAGCTTAATCTTCTGAAT